TTTTGCTTCCTCAGGTCGAGTGGGCTGAAGTCGGAAATTGAGGGTTCATCATTGCTTGCCAGGATGGTGTCGCATGATGGGTATAGAGGTTCCTGACACAAGGTGCAGGTCCTGCCGCGAGGCGCCCGAGACCCTAATGCAGTTGCTATCAGTATGTCGAGCATATGCGGTTTCGGCTTATATCCATTGATATAACGCGGCGCTAAGAGTGCTATAATACCATTTACGGCACTCTTACGGTATTGACGAGACACCAGTGTTGCCCTACGTTCCGGGGGATATTGAATCCTTTGTGGGAAATAAGAAGTGCCGAATGCTTTAATACCATTTACGGCACTCTTACGGTATTGACGAGACACCAGTGTTGCCGTACGTTCCGGGGGATATTGAATCCTTTGTGGGAAATAAGAAGTGCCGAATTTATTGGAACTATTCGTTCCCCACGCTCAGGCTCATACAAGCTAATTAGCCTGATGTAGTCCTTCTCGACCACCATATTTTTCGTGGAGTTTTCAGCTCCTGTCGAGACGAATATCGTCCGAAAAGAGGAGGAGAAATGGATAAAATATCGAGATTTTTTCTTCGAACTCCGCAGACTCTATCCAGACCACTCTGTCGAAATGGTTGTTATGATTATTGAAGTCCTTGGTGGAATGATGCTCTCTCTACTCTCGAATCCCAAAATCATACCCGCATACCGCATTAAGGCAGAAATCTTAGCCGGACAGATGCAGAAGACTGTCATTCTTGGCTCACTGCGCTTACTCAGGGCACATGATTTTCGGACCCAATGATTACTCACCTCACGGTGTGGGGAGTGGTCGTTGGTTGATAAAGATGACGCGCCCTCCTGATTGTATCGTGGCTTTGGGGGATAGGGCCTGACCAGAGAATACTTTCGTTCATAAAGGAAAAGTAGATGAAAAATCAATGAAAGGGCGAAGTTCAGCCGAGGCTGTTTTACAACTTAACCTAGGGGATGATAGCATGTATTATATAGAAAAATAAAAATAATTACCTAGTATACATTGATAAGTGAGTACTGAGTGAATCTTTGTAAAAGTAAGAAAAAAACAAAGGCTATGAATTTCAAAGTGAATATAAAAAATCTATTTAGCTCCAATAAGGTTAAATATATAGCAAAACATACAAAAAAGTGAGACAAAGGGAAAACCGTTTGAGCAAGGCATAACATGAATATATTATCTATCCAGATAGCGCCAATTGATTCGTGTATACACATTACAAAATATTTGATTGTGTTTCATTGTGTTCATCGCATATCTCCAATTATGTCAAAGGAGTATACAATTTTCAGACGAAATTTGCAATTGCTCACTGAGGTGAAAACAAAACTTTTCTGAAATGTACCTTAAACAAAACATAGTATCCTTTCGAAATATAGTACATGTAATCAAACTCCATATAAATATCATGAGAACAGATATCATCACTAGGAATGTATCTTGAAATAACGTATTTGTCCTGAATATGTTTCTACTACCTGAATGAATATTCATTTCACAATTCTCATGGTAGCTTTGGCATTATGAAATACATCATATCGTTATAGAAAGAGCTTTTCGACAAATACATCTCGACATCACTCAGATATTCTGACATTTCATTGGAGGCGGTTCGGAATTTGTTCGCAGTGAGAGAAGCTATAACTCAAGAATCGAACAATAGGATATGACATGTGGCGAAGTCTCGTGGAAAATACGTGGTGCTCTTGTAGAGAAAACTACATTTTTCCTATATCACAGTTGAATAGTTGTGAAAGTCTTTCACTTTTCCAAACTGTCAGTGTTACGTATTTGTAAATATATTTGAATTCTGTAATCAATAAGTGAAAGAGCATTATCTGACATTCCTCAAAAGTTAGGATAGTACCGTTTAATTCAAAAAATTACCAAATCAGAAATTAACCGATAAAAGCTAATTCCGTCTTTTCTATTATGCTTTCATGGCACAAATTTTAACAATCTTGTTACTTAAAATTGTTTGTGTACTTCATCTGCTAGATGTTTGTCCTATTTTTCTGATTATGATTTTGACAATTGTGATTACTTGCCTGATATTAATTTGTTGATTATAATATTATTTGCATCAGTGACTTCGTCATACATTAAAATTTTATTCAGATGTTTTCTGGAATGGCACTGTTTATTGTGTAGTGCTGTAATCATTTTGAGTGGATCCTTGATGTATTTGAGTGGATATCTACTTATTTTGCAGGCGGTTCCTTTCAGAAAATTTTCCCAAGATGCCATTATGAACTTCCACAATGACCATTTTTGGGCCGACGAAAATCCCAACGTTATTAGAGAAAGTCATTTTCAGCAATAATTTTCGCCGAACGTTTGATTAGAAATGATTGGTGACTACCTAATCACTCCATTTTTTCTACCAGAAAGATTGACAAACGGTGAATTTCCACTTGGATTTTTTGCGAGATCATTAACCCATTTTGTTAGAAGAAATACCAGTGGTTTATGCACGATGGGGCTCCAGCTCATTTCAGTGTTCTTACTCGTCAGTATCTCGACATCACCTACTCTTATCGCTGAATTGGACGTGCAGGACCTCAAAATTGGCCAGCTCGCAGTCCTGTTGGTCATCCGGAAGCTCTTGTTTATAAAACTCCTGTACTAGATGTGAATGACTAGAGGAATCAAATAACTGTGATTGCAATGTTATGGGGAATACTCCAGGATTACTTTTGGATTTTATTTTATGTTGTCCAGGAATAAAAGTAATGTAAAGGATTCCATGACTTTTTCTCTACATCAAATATGAAGTTCGAATACAATATTGAAAATAACGACAGTTAAAATTTCTGGATAATCTAGTTATGAGAAACGCTGATGACGACTCAAAATTTAAGGAATATAAGAAAAATACCAGTACTTTTTGATATATTTTCAACGTATTCAAAAAATAATTAAAGTTAAGACACACCCGAAATAGCCATTTTATGGCGGGAAACGTATTGCGTATCATACGTATCACACTCCTACATAAATACGGGTATAAACAAATGAAGATTAGATACCAGTCAGGGAGTAAATAACACTAGAAACATTATTTGAGGTAATTATTCGTCTGTATACGTATTGCACATCAGAGTCGTTATAGATAACTGTAGTATTCATTTACATCTTCTTTCTATATTTCCTTGTCCCTAAGTCACGCAGATAGCTGTAGATGCCTCCGTGTTGATATTAGGATATCCAAGAAATTTCAAGTCTCCTAATTGAAACCACAAATGTGCGGTTAGTCTCCTGTTGGTGACTCCGTTCGTTGGTGCTGTTTTCCGGTATTTGTTTTTTATCATGTGGTAACATTACTATATTCTAAACCGTAACAGATACGAAGACGATTAAATGGGAGGAAAGGGAACAATACAATGCTTGAAAAAAATGTACGGGTACTCACGCCCTTCTCGAGTTATACAGGAAAAACCAAAAACGCTGTTTTTCGTTTTATTCGAATGGAATTGTTATTTCGGAGAATATCAAAAAATTGAAAAAAAAAATGTCATTATATTGGAAGTGTACAATGACAATGTAATAATAAATATTCGATAAAACGTTTCGTGTCAACATGGCCGCCATTAACTTTTTTTATACCTTTTTCATTACAGATATTGATAGCACAATAAATTCACAATCCATGAAATATTTACACAAAGTATGCACCAAATGGGACACTTGTTTATTAAGGGTTTTTCGACAAAAAGTTATTATTCACAATAGTTTGTGCATCTCCTGAAACTAAACATGCACTAACGAAATACTGTAAAACGCACATAATATACGAGGAGCCTTCGAATATTTGATTCTGAAACAAGAGTAAACTACTCTTATTTTGAAAAATTCCGGGAAATGCAATTTGGAAAAGTTACTCAACATTGAAAAACACATCTTGATTTGATGTCATGGACATCTGAGTGGAGTTTTATTTTTTTACCATTTTTTTTTTAATGGAGACTACGAAAAAAAATTGCTGAAACAATAAATAGACATCATTCTTTATACGATGGTTCATTGTAAAAGCCTGTATGTAATATTACGAATTACACAACTATGGTGTTAACCACGGTCAATTTTTTTTGAAAAGTAAAACAATTTTCAAAGTTTTTGGTTATCTTAAACGCGTAGGCTTTACATGTTCCATAGGAAGATGTAATTAGACTATTTGTCTATTTGTTAATTGCTGAAATTTTCACCTTCGGTTTTCATTTGCATTTTGCAAAGAAAAACGATTGGCAAATGCATTCTTTCCTAATTTTAATAACCCTCATGAACCCTTCACAATATCATGTGAACATACCTCAACATTTCACCAAATGCCACTTTGTCATCGTTCTACAATGCATGAGAGCTAACTCGAAATACATTAAACATGTTCGGTCATATGAAACGAACTCAACTACTCTCCAGTCCTTCGGATCTACCATTTGTTTTCCTGTCGAGATTCCAACTTGACAAGATGACATACAATGTAAGCTTTCTGCTGGAACTTAGCACGGATTGTAAATGTTCATCGCTTGCATGTGTGGCACTTTGTGAAAGCATGTTTAGTTAATTTCGTAAAAACTGCGGAATGTTGTGCTCGCGCCAACAAGAAGTTTGTGAACCTGTCTGAACAGTGCAGATCTGAAAGCTAAACCGACCGTAAAAAAGTTCATCATGAATTACAGGAAAGTAGGGGATTCTTCTCGAATTGAATCTAGTGATAACTTTCAGATAGCAAAAATTTCCAAGGTGTTCGTAATAAAGCGACTATCGGATTTGCCCTTATTTATTGTCGATCTTTTACACACTCATAATGATGAACAGTCAGAAGTTCAATATGAAAAGCCAACTGGAAATTTATTTTCATATGGAATTATGGAAAATCAGTATGGTGAGAGTATGATATCAATCATTTTTGAATAATATTATTCAGTCCATGCGTTTGCGTTGATTCCAAGGAAATCAAATGTATCATCATGTTACAGTTCATTTTCCCAGTAGTCTTATTATAGTTGAATTCCTAATAACAAGCAACTTATTTCCGAACGTTGGTAACTGAAGTTAATGAAATTTCCCTATCATTCAATAATTTCTTTTTCAAAAATATAATTATAAATCTCCCGGTATATTATTCATTGGTCTCCGTGCGAACTATCGAATACAATCTATGCCCGCGCTACGCCTACCCTATTCCTTCGAATGAAAGGTGCGAATTCAACAAAGACAGAGAAACGGTCAAGTGTCGTCTCTCGTTTCCTCGAATCCTTCCAGCAAATATTAAGTTTTTTTCAAATAGGTTTGTTGATCATTCGTCCCTCGAATTTTGGAATTCTCGGTGCACAGTGAAAATAGGACATTCAGTCAGTAAGCGAGTGTACTGGAGATCAGCGACTTGGTATTGTTATAAAGTTTTGTCGATTTGAGGATTATTGCAGATATAAATCATCATATAGGAATTAGTTTGATGCTCCAATTGATACCAATCCTGAAATCTTCTGCTTCTATGGATTTATGCACTGAACTCTACTGAAGGAAATTTTGTGTCTTATCATTTTCTTTTGGAAACCTACTATTGAGTAAATGAACCCTCTAATATTGAGGTAAGGCAAAAACAAACATTGAAAAAAACTATTCATCTCCCTTGTTGTGTTATATGCTAAGATTCGAATGGTATAATTTTTAGGGTTCCAGTTTTGGATTTTTCATTTCCTTGAATGCACCACAGATCACTTTCGATTTATTGCTCGACGATAGATTGTCTGGGTGAAATAGGAAAAGTCCTCAAGTCCCGCCAAGCTAAGATCCGAAGTATTGTCGTAGGATCGGTATTCGTGAGGACTATTTGGTCTATTTTTTTTATACAATATTGCAAGAAGGATACGTCCGGTAAGCGAGTATTTCTTCATTGTTTATCTATAATTTCTACCGCTGGGATTGCTGCTACGATACTGCAAAAACCAAGAAATACCAGTGCAGGCTCTTCCTTAATTATAAACATTTTATTATCACCTGAATATATGAGACCATATTTTCTTATGTCATAATAATAATAGTTTTATTTTGTGAGCCAATTATAGCTATATTTGGAGATTCATATATGAACGATATGTTGTCAGTTATCAACCATAGTTATCAACTTGTATTGGTTAAGGGATATCTAGTAAATCAATTCTTTTTATTGGACATTAAGTGTTGATTATTTATGATCGGTTGTTATTTATAATTGTCGATTATATTTCTTTCCCGTTTAAGTAAGTTTCTTGGCGACACAAAACCGTATTAAACGGGTGGCGCCCCTTTATTTTATATAACATTTCTTTTCTTTTGAGTTCCCACGCCCACACCACTGAGTGAGCAGGCTGGTTTTGGTCAAGAAACAATAATGCAGCATAATGTCAGATATTTATAGAATCATTTTCATCTCATTGTAGATGAAGGTTCATATTAGAATTGCCCCCGTAACAATCATTACTAGAGAATAATACATATATCATCAGTTCTGGAAAAATATTAGAGTTAATTAAAGGAATTTGATGAGTCGAAAACAATGTTTGCTCCAACCTCCAAATCGTGAATGACAACCTTTCATTTTCAAAGTTGATACAAATTTGCTGGTGCTAGTGCGAAACGTCGTATGTTGGATTTGAGGATTTCACAGGAAACTCATCAAAATCGATTAATTTCTTTATGATTCATCAGCAAACGTCCAGAGGGAATGATAAAAGTCATGAAACAAAAAGTTATTATAAGAAAATAACCAGATATCATAATTTCCACATGATATGAGCACTAACAGTAGCAATGTGCATCCTAATCCCGTTCAAAATGTGTTTTCTCGTTATATCTCCTCAATATCTACTTATGAGAAAATTCCACTAGCTCGAAAACATATTTACTGCTACAAGTTGGACGACTAAGAAAGTTTTTTCACAACAGCGGCCATCCACAAGTAGAAATGACAAATCTTTTATGATTGAATCAGGATGGTTTTTGCTCCTTCAGAGTGAGTTGAGTATTTCTCAATCTTTCTGATTCGAAAGGGCTATTTTTTTTCTGATTGATTCGGCCGTTACTTGATGAAGATCCATAGTAATTTCAAAAACTACACCTCACGATTCGATCTCCACAAACTTCATTTGAAAAATATATCACAACATGTTTTGCTAGCACAGAAGCTTTATCAATCACTTGATTTGATGACACGATTTGTTCTTCACATACTTTATTTGAAAAATGTATCACAACATGCACCCAATGGGTGCATTTTTGTTGTTGTTATTGTAAAAGCCTGTCATATTACGAATTACACAACTATGGTGTTAACCACGGTCATTTTTTTTTTTTAAGTGAAACAATTTTCAAAGTTTTTGGTGCAAGGTTATTTTTATTTTTTGTTAACACCGAAAATTACTCAAAATTATACAGTATTGTAAAAAGAATTCAATATTAAATAATATCAAATCGCGAAACATCAAAATTAAATAGGTATTTTGGAACAAACTCATTGATTTTCTAGAGAATATTTTGGGGAATTATTTTGGACAAGAAAATCTCCAAAAAATCAAAGAGTTTGATCCGAAATACCTATTTTATTTTGATGTTTTGCGATTTGATATTATTGAATTGTATAACTTTGAGTAATTTTCAGTGTTAACAGAAAATAAAAATAACTTTGCACCAAAAACTTTGAAAATTATTTTACTCTTCAAAAAATTTGAATGTGGTTAACACCATAGTTGTGTAATTCGTAATATTACAGGCTTTTAAAATAAACCGTCTTATAAAGGATGCTGTTTATTTATCGTTTTAGCAAATTTTATTTTTCGTAGTGCTCATTTAAAAAAAATGGTAAAAAAATAAAACTTCACTTAGATGGCCATGACTTCAAATCTAGATGTATTTTTTAATGCTGAACAACTCTTGACTCAAAATCAAATATTTGAAGGCTCCTCGTACATTACATGTTTTACTGTATTTTGTTGGCGCATGTTTAGTTTTAGGGATGCACAAACTTTTATCAAGAATAACATTTTGTCGAAAAACCCTTAATAAATAGGTTTCCCATATGGTGCATACTTTGGGGATGACACTGTATAGGCCTTTTAAGATTTTATCAAGACCTACATTAAAAGGTTCACTATAATCAACACCTGCATTCTGAAAAAGATGCAGTTGATTAATCGACTGGAAGGTAATCTACCGATGAAAGATTCGACGGGAGTGGGATTCACTTTGAAACACACTATGCACTTTAATAAAACGTGCCGTATGGCGCGTTTGGACGATAGAATCCAAAACTGTTGAACAATTAAAAAGTGGAGATTTTGAATTCCCACATGTGAATATTTTTATGGGCATACAAATCAATTCGAATGACATTCCATAAGATTATTTTCGAGAAAAAAACATTGGGATATGTGTTAACACTGTACACTATGAGATACGTATTTGTACTGTTTTTTCTCGAACTTCTTGGACGCCGCTCTTTTACCGAGTGTTCAAATGGGATGTGAAATATACACAGACCTAATAATAATTTTAAAGTAAACAAATCTCTTTAAAAATTAAAACCCAACATTTGAAACATCAATTTGAATACTTTTCGAAGTGAATTTGAAAAACTCATGAATTAAACTCTACTTCATTTTGTTCAAACTTGCATTTGCTGTAATAACGCAAATTGAGGAACATTCCCCATTGTCGTTCGCCAGAAGGACAAGTTGGTTCATTTCACAAAGTTGGCTACCTTTCACAAAGTCAACTATACGAAAGCAGTAAACCTGGTTGACGGCATTAAAGTTCAGCCTTCTTCGATCGAGGACTACAGGAGTATGTCCAAATTATTGGTGAGGGAGAAAATCCCTCATCACACGTATGGCCTTCCTGAGATCAGGCAAATTAGAGCCGTCTTCAGAGGAGTCCCGGAGAACCTGAAGATCGCTGACATCGAGGGCGCCTTGGTGGAAAAAGGTTTTCAGCCAATCATCTGTCTCAAGGGTGATGCGTGTAAATTGTCTGCTCCCTTTGGTTTTGGTTCAAGTGAGCCAAAATCAGAAGCATATCTACGACGAACGGGACCTCCTTAATGTCAAAATTAAAGTTGAGCCCCAACACCAGAAGACACTGGTAGGGCAGTGTCACCGATGTCAGCGGTTCGGGCATAGCCAAAGGAACTGCTTAGCCCTCCCCATCTGCGTCGAATGCGCCGGCAGACACCTTTCAGGAGAGTGCAAGAAGCCAAGAGCAGATCCTCCAAAAAGCAATAACTGCAAGAGGGTGCATTCTGCGAACTACCGCGGTTGTCCTGAGTTCCCAAGGTTCGCAGGAGGACAAAGATAGCTGCAAATGCCCCCCGAAATGCACCCACACCTGGGAGGCGTCCTGCCGGAGCATCTGGTACACGCCCGGGTATGAGCTACACAGGAGCGACCAAGAGCGGTAACATCTCCGCCAGGCCGTCCGCGGCTCCCTCTAGTCCTCGCTCGTCGAAGGTTAATGACATCTGCTCCGCTCTGGACCAAATGAAGAAACTCTTCATTCAGTTTCCCGTACTTGAAAAAATGTTTACAGTCATCACAGACGTGCTAACTGGAGCTTGTTAATGGCTAGACAACCTACATTGCCTAGCTCTCTTGAGGTTGTATTTTGAAATGCCAATAGTATTTCAAACAAAAAACATTATTTTGAGAACTTCTTGACAGAACATATCATCGATGTTGCACTTGTGCAGAAAAACCACCTGCACAATGAACCTTTTGGTATTCCAAACTACCGTTTCTACCATAGAGAACGTGTTGGACGTATCCTCACGTACAATTCGGCATTGATTCAGATCAGTTACACGGCACGGAAGCCGTGGACGTTGAACTCCAACTGAGAACAGATTGTCATAGACTAATATCAGTTTACAACCCTCCGCGGAATCGCCTACTCTCAGAATCACTAGATGAACTGCTGATATCGACAGATACCCCCACAATTGCTACTGGTGACTTCAACGCCAAGCACAATCTGTGGAGCAGAATCACCAATGCGAACGGCCGAGCGCTCCATGCGCATGATGACAGGCATGAGTATCGAATGATGGGTCCAGATGAGCCTACGTTCTATCGTGGGAATAAAAGACCTGACGTGCTTGATATCGCACTACTCAGGAACGTCTCCTTGTCCTGCGAAGTGTACACTTTGTCGGACTCAGATCATAATCCAGTCATCCTGATGCTGAGTGATGATCCCCCTCCTCAGGATTATCGCATGAGATCATCCACACTAGATGAGCCTTCAAGGCTCATCTAGTGGAGACACATTCGGACCGTGAGGCGCTTCGAACTCGCAACGGTCTCGACGCGGCAGTGGCGAATTTCGAAATGTTTGTGAACAACGCTTTCCGCGCAGCCACAACCAGGACAGAGTGTCCTCTGCCAAGCTACAATGAGTTTCCTCCCAGGATAAAAAACCTTATCCGGGAAAAAAATCGACTCAGACGAGTTTATCAGCGGACTCTCTACCCTGGAGACAAGGCTGCGGTTAGCAGGATGGCCAACCAAGTTAAACAGGCCATCACTGACTAGAGAAACGAGAGGTGGAGCGAGTGTTTGGAATCTCTCGAACCTGGGGATGAAGAGCTATGGCGAGTAACCCGTAGGCTCGAGAAGAGAAAAACCGCTCCCTCACCTCTTCACGGACAGCGCGGCATCTGCTACTCCCCCGCCGAGAAGGCGTTGGCCTTTGCAAACACAATGGAGAGTCAGTTCCAACTTAACGTTGATCCGGATGATGATATTGACTGTGATATCCGGCTGGAACAGCGGGTTCGGCGCATCCTTAGGGAAAATGATGACGACGTGATCCGTCCAGCTTCGGAGGAAGAACTGAGGGGGTACATTAGGGCCTCCAAACCCAAGAAGGCTCCGGGAATTGATTCAACCCTGTCCCCCGTCAGGGAAATCCAAGCTGGAGTGCCTCAAGGAGCTGTGTTGTCTCCACTATTATACAGCCTTTACGTGAGCGACCTTCCGAGGTTCGACCTCGAACGCTGGTACCTGGAATGGAAGATTCGGGTGAATCCAGAAAAAAACGATTTCAGACAGGGAAATCGAATGGAAAACGCGAGTCAAAATACCTAGGTCTTCAGGTAGACCGCCGACTCACCTGGGCAGCGCCCGATCTAGGGGGGGGGCAAACCGGACAATTGCCCGGGGCGGCAAAAATAGGTTAAAATTATACCATCTATGGCATAACGTATGGGTAAAAGGCGGCAAATATTATTTTACCCGGAGCGGCGAAATAGCTGGATCGGGCGCTGCACCTGGGTAAATCACATCGATTATATCAAGAGCAAAGTACAAATGAGGATAGTCAAACTCTTTCCTCTGATCAACAGAAATTCCAAGCTCAATCTTAAAAATAAGATTTTATTAGACAATACGATGTTCAAACCTGTCATTATGTATGCTTCAGGCGCTTGGGGACAAACCGCTCCGTCAAACCTCTCCATTTTGGAAAGGCTGCAAAACAAACTAATCAGGATGCTGGTGAACGCTCCATGGTTCGTGCGGAATGAAGCCATTCGCAGAGATCTGAAGCTGTCAACTATACGGCAGTCCATTCAGTCGAGGAATCAGAGAGTTTTCCAGTCAGCGGAAACTCATGTTAACCCATTACTTAGGGAAGCTGTAGATTACACTATAGACCACCCCACTCGATTCAGAAGGCCCCACGACGTCTGTTAAAATGAACAGTTTATTCATCAAATACCCAGTCAGGTAGGGGTACACAAGGTCAGAGCGGCATAGACGTGATTGATCTTTATGTCATTACCAAAAAACACCTTCAGGTATGAACCACTCATCCTCCTGACGAATGAGAGTTGAAAGGGTAAGGGAAAAATTTCCAACCTGAAGAAAAGAAAGATGACAAACAAAATATATAAACAATACTGTGACACCGCTGAGCCACAAAATACCTTGGCTGAACTATTTCATTACATCCCAGTAGGGCATATTTCTGAAGAGTGGATTACAAAATAAGATCGATGAAGATATTGACGCGATAAAGACCTCAATGACCTTGAAAATACATTACTAATATTCTAATATTAGACAGTGGTAATATCGTTGGTAGTAAACTCAAAGTAATGATATAAATAGAGATGCCTTTCTATCCTTGTTTCTGAAGCCAAATTATTCTGTTTATCTTTCACATATAGTCAGTGGGCATACTTGAAGACTGACTATAAATCAAATTATCTAAGAACAATTGGTTCAGGCCAGTCTCAACTCCCAACACAGTAGGTTCATGGACTGACACCTATTAGAAAACAATTACTCCCCTGGCTTATACCACGAAGGGCGTTGGATTATATCCGACAGGTGTCAGTGCAGGATTCTTCACAGAAGTTATTCCTGCATATACTGTTGGCGATACAACTGCCGCAATAGATTTTCAGTTATTGGAACCTGTTGTTTGTTGTATGCTTCAGCTTAGTTATTTTGTGATTTGAGTGCTTATTGACCGATATAATTAATTTGTAGTTCAAAAAGTAATTTTGAAGATGGTGAAAACCTGCGTTGTTTGTGGATTTTCACAATCCTTGCATGTTGATGTAACATTTCACGGATAAACAACAAATGGAGCATGGGCGTAACCCAGAATTTTTTATCGAATTAATAGTGGATAGTTATTAGAATTTTCTTAACATATTTTCCGCACGCCCCGGTATCCAGTCCAGAGGATTATGTAAACAATTCCCTCAGTCCCCTTGTCCACATTTCACTGTGAGAGAGATGGATATCCTGGTTGTCTACAAATGTGTTGTGTTTATATACGGAGGGCATCTCTACTTATTTTTTATTACTCTGAGATGGTAAAAGTAAACAGCAGATTACCTTATCGACAGTACGACAGTGCCCTCACCTTGTTGTGATGGTGGGGGAAAAAGTCAGACGAAGAAGTGTACCACCTCTTGCGGCACCAGTGGTGTTATGCGACCCGTGCCGAAAGATGAACGGTACCTGAGCCTAACCAGACATATATGTATATCACTAACGAAGCCTCTGAGATACAGGTATAGGTAACCTCCCAGGATACTCAAGAGGACCAGAAAAGTCAAAGACAACGGCGCATGACAGTACCACCAAAACCATAGTTGCAAGGACGGCAAGTCCGTAAATTGGATAACATTCCATCAGGCAGTAACATTAACATTAATTTCAAAAGAACTTGGAAGGAGGCGCACTTGACCCTGATAGAGGCCAAAAAACTTACGAGAAGACGGAAAATGCTTAAAAGAATGTTTTGAACATTTGCTCAAATGTATTTTTTGTGTTAGATGAATAATAACGAGGTTAAAATAAAATGCTATCGTTTATACCCTTGAAATCAGCACTTTTCCATTGAAAAATCTGTTACTAATTCATTTCTCTTTCTAATGAATATTTATTTCAAAAATTCTGTCAAATGTTGGCGGATTGACAAGATTCCTAGTCTCAAATTCAAATATCAATAAATCAGTAACCGGTAATCGAAATTCAGAAATACTCGAATATAATATGCCAATACTGTAATTGTATCTTTAAGTTGAAAGTTCACTATTTCAAGTGAAATTATAATGGTCATGAATGTCATTTTGTGACCATCCTTTATATCTTGCCTAATTCTGAAGAAAAAGTTCAGCTTGAGTAAGTGTAATTGAATATTTTTGGATTTGAAGAAATCTAAATATTTTTCACCAAACAGCCTAGAGAATTTCAAAAATATCATCTGGCAATACTGATTTCACTCGGTTTGACTGTAAAAATAACAAAATGTTACTGTTCGGTGGCGAAACTCTGTGTCACTGCTCTGAGCTCTGTGTTTTTACGAATGTAAAACGTCAAACGCCATTATAGTAGAGAAGTGTTGTGGAAGTGATTGTCAATTATGTATATGTATAAATGAAAATGCATTTAACCACACTTTTAAGAACAGTTTTATTCAAAGGCACTTTTAAAATACCAAGAAAAACTATCACGACTTCCTCAAAGATGATGCAAGAAGTTGTGGAAGATTTGAAAAAAAATAACCCTTATTTTGACAAATATTCTTCAAAAATCGCCAAGTTAGGAAAAGAAGATCCCACAGAGTTCAAAGCGAGAGTTGAGGGCCTCGGCAAGAAAAAACTACAAAAAGTTGAACTAATCAATGAAAGGCCCTACTCTAATTTGTTGAATCCGAAGAAGAACATTGTTGAACCTAGTCTTGTAAAAAAAGAGGCTCTGGATAAAATTATGAAAATTGATTTGATCAAAGACAAAAGCTCTGTTGAAATTGAAACTATTTGGAAACAGTACCATCTTCAAAAAGATAATTGTATAGCAGCTACTATTCCTAGTGCTGACTTTGATAAGCTATATCAGAATGGTAAAAACTACCCAACTTTTGTTTTTGCATTACCTCGTAGTCAGGGTTATGAATTCATAATGTGTCAGTTTTCTTCAAACACAGTTCATTTCACTCCTCTTCTTTACTACCAAGTACACAAGGAAAATGCTCCTGAATGTCTTACGATTACTCATTTTGATGAGTTTAAGGAAAGCAAAGAAATTGTTTTGATGAGAGGAGAATTTGATAAAAACATTATAAACGCTGTTGAAGCCCAGTGTCTTGCAAACCAACTACAACTGTATTATATTCAAGAAGATCCCAATAAGCGAAAATTGTTGGAAGTATTCACGAAGAAACCTGATGAATTCAATCATACTGATCTTATTAGCCAAATTGAAACGTTATCACTGAATTAACTCATTGATTGGATAGTTACTTGTATCGAGTTCATTCATCTCAGCAGCTTTGAACTACTTGAAAGGAATGAGCATTCATCCTTTGTTAAGTCAAACTTGCATAGTAATAATTTCTATTCTTCACACTTGAATAACATCATCGCATTCTCTATTGTAATGAAATGTTGTGAAGCAATGTAAATATTCTATAATACTTTTTAATGTATATATCGTATTTAATAAAAATGTTAGTTGATAACAACTTCTCTTCTGATTTCAAAATTTACTGAAATTTTATATTTTCAAAGTAATACAAATATTTTATTTCACTACATCAAGTTACTCATTACATTTGTACCTAGCAGATCAATAAAATGAAAGGATTTTAAAAAAATGAGAGCTTCATTAACCAGTGCATCACTACCACAGATTACATACAATGGTATACACAGAATCATGAAAAAAAACAATTTTAAACTGCCACAGAGGTTTGTAAATCAATACTTCCAATTCTATATAACAGCAGAGGATGTCTGCTTCTGACACAATAGTATGTGAATATAATAGTACATTTCTTTCTCAAAACCTCTTATAATATCTGACATTTTGAGGGCTTGGGTAATTGAAGTCAATTTTACATAGTTTTATAGGTGTAAAGATGTAGATATCTATGGGTATAAGTGGACTGTTCAAAAAATAAGGTAAATGTTCAAATTTGGCTGGCTACGCACATTCATTTCGATTTGTTGGTACAATTGTCTCTAACATATGTTCACAATTTCAGCTGTTTTAACATGTTTAGTTTGTTGGGGAGAGGTATAAAAATTTGAAGTTTTTTGCATGTTCGCCAATTTTCTGCTATCGAAAAAATGGATCAAAGAATTTGCATCAAATTTTGTGTAAGAAATGGAATTAAGTGCTCAAAAACACTTGAAATTTTGACAGTGGCATACAGTGAGTCAGAAAAATGTTTACAAGTAGTACAAGCTTTTCACAGGTCGAAAAATTCAGTTAGGAGTAGGGCAATACGAAATTGAAAACAGATCTAGTGTGCTTTCCGGAAACTTTTGAAAATCTCAGCATATCTGCCTTCTGAAGGACATTGATTTGGCAGTTGGTTTTCTAACTATTGGTTCATAAATCAGCTATGACGTTTTCAATTTCATGTTGAAATTTTATTTGCATTTGAGAGGTTTTATTAGTGAATTTGAATTTTGGAATGTTGGTTAGTTTGATTTGGCACAGTAGATGCTACTTAGATAAATAATGAATCATGCAGTCGTTGTAGCCTCATCCTCGCTACACACGGAAGATGATGCCCCCAATGAATCTATTAAAAATAGAGAATGGGTTAAATATTTATTTGCAGCAATTCAAAGCACAGTTTTTTGGTCGACTTGAAAAAAATGATCAAAGTGAACTTCAATTTTGATTCATCTCTTTGCAATGAATAGTTAAATAGTTTTCCATAAATTGAGCAGAAAGTTTACTCATCTTCAAGAATAACCTTGTATCAGTCTTACTTTTTGCGTTACTCATTTGTACCCACATTTTTTCATTTTCATTTGATGAATAAAATATGGGTTCTGCTAGCATAACCGTCAAGTTGATGAATGCAAATCGAATCCTACTGAACTTTTCTGTAAATATGTGATGAGATATCGAAATTCAGACTCATTTTAACTATTTCCCCTTCTGTTTGATTTTCTACTTGTTTATTTTAATATGTGGTTTTTGTTGGCTTAACTGTTAAATGGCAAATGTTTGTTGAACACTTGAAATATTTGAATTGATATGATAAACATATCAAAACAAGGTACATCATACCTACCTAAATATTTTCTCTTCGTTCCATTTCTTCACAGGTTTTTATTTTCTGGGCGATCTTCAATTGCTCAGAGAAGTGGACTATAGTTTTGTTGGTTGAAAATGACACAGTAATAACATGGTTTTTTGGGATAGTGATAGAGAGCGGTGGGATGCGCTTAAGTCTAGATATGTGTTACCACTGTACACCATGAGTTACGTATTTGTACCTACTGTCCCTTTTTCGAGCTTCGCAGGCGGCGCTATTTTACTGAGTGTTCAATTGGGATGCGCCATCGTGCAGTGAATTTACATGCAATACGAAATTAATCGACAATGACCATTGAGGCTATCACCAAGTGTTAACAATACCGCCCACTGAAAGAGCGGTACGGCGGGTTTTAAGGAACTTCGGATGAAGTGGGTAAAGAGCATAATTTCACCAGAGATCTATGAAGAAAGCCCTGGTTAGTACGTACCATCGCTACTCGTATGATATATTGTCAGGTCCGGGGTGAGTTTTAATAACCCGTCCTATGCGCCAATGCATAGAAGGCATTTATTAATATTTCTTTAAACCCAAATCACCTACCACTAAAGTTTTATCATTTTTCAGCCACTTTTGACGTTGTTGCAATGTTTGCAGATATTCATGATTCCATCTTTTCAAAATATCCTGCTGTAATCCTGCTGCACCAGTTGCCAACAGTTCAAATGATTCATCTTGAGCTGAGAGACACCTGAATCCGGTACAGATGAGAGAGGAGCCAGGGTCAGAAAATATCCAGGCGTTGATACTGAAGGGTCGTTCAGGTGAGAACTTTGAGGGCATAGTGGTCGAGAGTTGAGGATAGCCTCAATTTGAGTTATGAGAGTGTAAAATTCCTGATACGTTAATACTTGACTTCCGATGGTGCGATGAATATGAGATTCAACTCAGCCTCATTTAGACCGTTTAAATGTGATGATGAGGAGGCATTAAAAGAAAATTTCAAATTAACATTTTCTGTAGCAATTTTCATATAATTTCAAAAAATGCAAGCTGCGCCAATGAAATTGGTTCCACAATCTGAAGTAATATGCGTGCAGTGTCCACNACTCAAAGTAAGACATTGGTTATTTTATACTCATATTATTCTGCGAGCAATTTTCTTTGTTTATATGAATTACAAATATATTAAAAACTTATCACTGACAGTGCATGTAAATCATTTTCAATATCAAACTCATATTTGAAGATGTATAAATAAAAAGACAAACCTAGGAAATCAAATTGAAACTTGAATCTCATTAATACCATTTATTGTATGATTTTCAATATAGTGAAAAGGTATTAATGAGTTTTAATATGGATTTTCATCAAGTATCCGCCAGTTCTATTCAATTATTGAAGCTTAAATTATTTCAAATAGAAATGAATTGATATTGATATGTATTGAAAATTTAAATTGAAGATAATTAAACAAAAGGGCAATATTCTACTGATCAAAACTATTTCAAGTAAATGGGTGAGCAGTTGACTATAGTCTGCTCGCTGAATAGATGGAACGTGATCTGCATGTGAGTTTTCACACATCCAGTAGTATTGGTTGACTGATTTCAACTTTCGACCATTTTCATAGAGGCAACGAAATTCTGTCTTTTTGGACCTGTCATCTCACATTTTCATTTTTATTAGTTATGTCATCAATTTTTGTGTGTATTCGATCTTTAAAGAAAAATTGCTATGCTCGTTCAATATTTATGGTATTGTTTATATCTAGATGTTGACTTTGTAAACACACAAAATCACGTGGTCACTCCATCTGTTCGGTAAACGGACTATAGTGATATAATTTTGTACCTATTGTGGTACGTACGTTCACATTGTAACAAATCCAAATTCAGTTGATTCAAGGCACCCATAGAAATCTGTTTTATATCTTCATTCAGTAGTAGGGCCAGTAAAGAATTTGCGATGTGTTCGCAAGCTGATTTACAAGCAATTTGTGCCGCTTCAAGCTGAAAACAAAATCATGATGAAAGTCAAATATAATTCAATAAAATTGATAAAGATGTCAAAGTTACTCACTGGAATATTTGTGAAACTTTGAAATGTTGTTTGCAGGAATGCTATAGTGTCAGAAATGTAGCTGGAAGCGTGTCCCTTCGGTTCCACCAATAACCAGTCATAATTTTCTAGCTCTAAGAACTCGTCGAGTTTTTGCCTCAATTTTTCACAAATTTGTCGTACAGCTTCTTCTCTAGATACCGAAAATAAAGCTGTCTGACCATGACCCAAACCTGATGTCACTCCCCGAGATTCTTCTCTGAAAGAAAAAATAGACAGTTGTGATTTATAATGTCAGAAGACTATTAGTTATGATGCTATTTCTAGTAAGGTGCTCTTCACTAAAGAATAAATCAAAACATTTTGTTATTTCTATTTGTCAGTTTTAAAGTACATTCTAGTTTTTTCGAATGCTTTCTTGCAGAAGTCAGTAGTATGTTTTCTCGATGGTTTCTTTTGTGAAAACTTTTTTATGAAGATGCTCGTGCACTTTAGGAACATTCTTAAAGTGCTATGATGATAGTGATTAACGTTGTATTCAAATCACTGCAGATTATATTATTTGGAAAAACAAAGGAGCCATTGTCCAAATGTACTGACTCGAAACTAACTAATATAAAGTGAACATTAAAATCACAAAATGGAAATATTTCATGTTTGAAATATATAGGCTGAAAGGAAATATGTTGTTGGCTCTCAGATAAACTTATATTTTCCAGTACACTTATTTTAGTCTTCCAAAATTCAGGTAAAGCTGTCAGACAATTTTTGGAATGCAAAAGAAATTCGGAGAATCATGAGACATATGAGAACAGGACATGAATACACAGTTTGTGAAGGGTTTATCGAATTGGTTGAAGCAAAGGGTAATGTCAACGCAACCAGATAATGTAGCAGAAACAATAGAACTAATGAAGGCCCTTACAAAATCATAAGAAAAGAAAAAGAATTATGAGATGTGTAATGGAATCAAAGTACTGTAGCAGAAATATGAAATACAACCAATTTGGCAATCGGGTTTAGCAAACGACTGAAATACCAGAAGTATGGAGTCGGATGTTTTGTTTTTTTTTCCATTCATTTGAGTATGATAACAATTTCGTTTCTAAACCTTTTGTATATGGCCCAATTGAGTTGTCTATTATTTGGATTACATAAACTTTTTGTTTCTTGGGATGATGAAGACAATACAATACAATTTCAAAACTAACTTTTCATAAAAATGTGTACATTATGCATAGAAGTTACTTTCAGATACAAACTGGAAGAAAAACCCCTTTTGAAACAACTACTTTCATATGAACATTGAATTACACAAAAGAAAAAGTAGTTTCGAAACAACTTCTTTCATATGAACATTCAATTATACAAAAAACACTTCTTCCTATTCAGTTTGTACTCCATAT